TTCTGTCCAGTTCCAAGAAACCAGCCACAGATCCCTGGTCAATTTACCCTTCTGGACCTCACCACAAATCACGCTGGGCCAATCCTTTAGCATCTAACATCTACAAGAAAGAAAAGCCTGAGAGTGAGGTTGTTAAAGGATAGTACGTTACATGCACCGAATCTGCCAGTTCTCGATGCAGGCTCTAGCAGAGATGTTACAGCTGCTGGTTTAAAAGTCCTTGTTGCACATCCTAGAATCAGGATGGGTCCACGGGTCTTTCTGGCTCTTTGATCCCTGCAATGCTGCCTCTGGGATGAAGGGCTGAGCTGAGGACCAAGATGGAGACCACCACATGGCCTATTTGTCCCTCCTTCCTGGCCTCTTTTTGGCTATAGCAGGTCACCTGGTCCACAGCTTATTCCTGTGTCCCCTGCTGGTAGCCCTTAGGTCTGAGTCACCCTCATCCCGAGGTGTGTCCTTGGCCCATTGAGAGCCATGGTCCCACAGGGCCTCGCTGATTAGCATGTCCATAGGCCGGGCCCTGCCGAATGCTCAGCCACATGCAGGGAATATTCAGTGTCCATACAAGTCCATGCTCATAATTGCACACACAGACATTCTACACACACATGACCAGCGTACACAGGATCAGCAGACAGGGAGCTTCTATTCAACACCCCACATGGCCCCCCTTTATACTATTTTCTGGGGCCAACACCCCCACCTATGGGTGCAGCAGCGATCTGGCTGCTCCCCTCAGAATGCGGTAATGTGACAGCCTGCTGAGCCCAGAGCCGGGCAGAGCGAGACCGGGACTCCCTTCGGAAGGCTGGAATTGAGCCCAGAGCGTTTGGGACTCTGCTAGGATTTTAGTCCTCCTCTCTGTGGCCACTGGAGCCGGGCGACAAGGTTATAGGGAAACTGAGGCATGGGGTGGGGGAAGTGGGAAGAGGCGCGGGGCGGGGAAGGAGTATTTCCAAGCCGCGTGCAGCCCAGCGGGGTGAGCTCTGGCGGTGTCGTGGGCAGGGAAGCTGCAGGAGGAGATCGAGCAGGTGATCGGGCGGAACCGCACCCCGGCCATCGAGGACCGGAGCCAGATGCCCT